TGTCAGAGATGTCAGCAGTATGTGGGAGACCATGAATAGGTGATAACAGTAGCCTTAACACATGTGGGAAAGCTGAATTCCAAACCCATAATGAGAGAAGCCAAAGAGGAGTCATTCAAATCCCACCTTGGATGCTCAGAGAAGCTCAGAACTCTGAGACACCAGATACTTTTGGAGGCAGAGTGCAAAAGGGACTTGAAGAATAGGAAGAATCATAGAAAATTTATATAAGGAACAGTAAGACATTCCCCACCCTATCCCCACCCACATGTTGCTATACAAAATAAAGAAACATTCAGAAAAAAGAGTCTTTAGCTATTGCTATGGTTTGAATGTCTCCTCCAAAATTCATGTTGAAATTTAATTGCCATTGTGATAGTTAAGAGGTGGGGCCTTTAAGGGGTGATTGACCATCAGGGCACTGCCCATGTAGAACTGATGCCATTATAAAAAGGCAAGTTTGGCCCAGTCTTGCCTTCTTGCCTTCTGCCGTGGGATGAGGCAGCAAGAAGACACTCTGAAGACGCTGGCACCTTCTATTGGACTTCCCAGCCTCCAGAACTGTGAGCCAATGAATTTCTGTTTATTATAAGTTGCCAAGTCTGAGATATTTTGTTATAGCAGCACAAAACAGACCAAGAGAGAAATTTTGAGGTGAAAGCAGAAATAAGAGGCTCAGTGGAAGTTTTGAAGAAAATGTAGAAAAATTCTGACAGTAAAATAGGCTAAGAGGCCGAAAATTGGAGGAAAGAAAGAAAATTAGAAGATTAATCCCAGAGGCAAATCAGACAAATAAATATAATTCCAGGGAAGTAGAGCATAGGAAACAGAAGAAAGGAAATAAGAGATGGAGACAGAAAATATTTCCCAGAACTGAGACCTGAATTTCCCAATTAGAAAAGACCACTGAGTCCCTTGCACAGTAGATGAAAACAGACTTACACTAAGACAAATCATCAATCATTTTCAGAACACCAGGTATAAAAAAAATTCTAAAAATGTTCAGAAAGAAACCAAAAAGGACACGCAAGGGACCAGAAGTCAGAATGACATCAGCTGTGTTAACAGCAGCCCTGGAACCTAGAACACGCAGGAACAATCCCTTCCAAATTCTGAGAAAATGATTTCCAGTGTGGTCTTCAAAGAATGAACGTCTTAAATAATGTATGTCCCATATAGTCTCTCTCAAGAATCTACTAGAGGATGTATTCATTGCAACAAGAAGCAGACTAAGGTGTGTGGCCTAGAAATAAGAAATCCATCCTAGATGGGGAAGAAAGGGATCCCCATTGTGACGAGGAAGGAGAGCTAGATCCAGCTAGGCCACAGGACTGAACAGGGGAAGGGCCTCTCTGTGGGGGAAACAAGGAATGGATTCATTCCTTGATGTTTTAAATTGCATTTTAGCTCTGTTGGAGAGTTTATACAGAATTAGTAATAAGTACATAGAAACCTCCCATATCAAAAAAAGATATAAAAGCATAGTGCAAAATATTCCTAACTCAGTTATGACTGTTTTGATAGTCATTATAAAAACTTAGTATTGATTTAACTGAAAGAACTAAACTGTTCTGGAGGATGATGGGAAGGTTAACATGTATATGTTGGACTGGGGGGATGTGAGAGGGTCAAACATCTCCCAGGTAGGAAGGAAAAAATATATATATGTGTGTGTGTGTGTGTGTGTGTGTGTGTGTGTGTATCTGAACCCAGTCAAGATACAGCATAACCATAGCATCTAGAAATATGGAACTAAATAACAGAAGAGTTAGCTAAAACTGTTGAAAATACTTGTTTCTAGGGAATGGGAATCAGAGGTGAACGAATATGTCAGGAGACTGGTGTTTCATGAGAAGCCTTGAGGTAATACTTGACTTCTAAAACTATATATGTATATTACTTTGATTAATAAAGAAAACGTATGTCCACCCACAAAAAATGTACGCAAATGTTAATTGCAGCATTATTTATAATGTCAAATAGTAGAGAGCATCCAAATATCCAGCAGCTGATGAAGAGATAAAATGCAATATATTTCTATAGTGGAATATCATTCTTCTATAAAAAGGAAGGAAGGCCAGGTGCAGTGGCTCATGTTTGTAATCCCAGCACTTTGGGAGGCTGAGGCAGAAGAATCACCTGAGCCCAGGAGTTTGAGACCAGCCTGACCAACATGGCAAGACCCTATCTCTACAAAATAAAAAAACTTTTTAATTAGCTGGGTGTGGAGATGTGTGCCTGTAGTCCCAGCTATTCAGGAAGCTGAGGTGGGAGGATGGCTCAAGGACAGGGGTTCAAGGCCTCAGCAAGCTATAATCGCACCACTGCACTTCACCCTGGGCAACAGAGTGAGATCCTGTCTCAAAATAAATGAACAAATAATAAATGAAGTATGACATGCTACAACACAGATGGACCTTGAAAACATGCCAAGTGAAAGAAGCTAGTCACAAAAGAACATGCATTGCGTGATTCCCTTTATATGAAAAGTCCAGAATAGGCAAACTCTAGAGACAGAAAATAAACTAGTTGTTGGCTATGGCTGGGGATTTGGGAGATGGGGGTGAATGGGGAGCAACCTTTAATGGGTAAAGAGTTTCTTTTGGGGGCCGGGCGCGGTGGCTGAAGCCTGTAATCCCAGCACTTTGGGAGGCCGGGGCGGGTGGATCACGAGGTCAAGAGATCGAGACCATCCTGGTCAACATGGTGAAACCCCGTCTCTACTAAAAATACGAAAATTAGCTGGGCATGGTGGTGCGTGCCTGGAGTCCCAGCTACTCAGGAGGCTGAGGCAGGAGAATTGCCTGAACCTGGGAGGTGGAGGTTGTAGTGAGCCGAGATTGTACCACTGCACTCCAGCCTGGTGCCTGGTGACAGAGTAAGACTCTGTCTCAAAAAAAAAAAGAAAAAAGTTTCTTTTGGGGATGATGAAAATGTCCTGGAATTATATAGTATAATTGTTGCACAACTCTGTTAAAATACAACAAACCACTGAATTGTACACTTTTTAAAGGTGAATTTTATGGTCTGTAAAGCCTATTTCAGCGAAGCCATTACTTAAACAATTAAAACGTTAAAAATCATACCTAATTCGTAGAGTTGTTGTGAGGAAAAAATAAAATAATGTGTGTTAAGGGACTAGCCCAGAGGCTGATGTAAATAGTAAAAGACTAGTTAACACTTACGTAGGATTTGCTATGTGCCAGACCCTCTTCTAAGTTCTCTGCATGTGTCAATTCACTTAACCCTTGCAACAACTAGAGAAAATAGACACTGTTCTTGTCCCCACTTTCTAGATGCGGAAACTGAGGCCAGTGCAAGTAAATAATTTGCCCAAGCTCACACAGCTGGTACGACCGTGGAGCTGGCCCAGCATCTTTACTCTTCACCACCTGATGCTCCCTGTCTCTGCCTCCCAGGCCCCACGTCTGGGTTAGTGCTGTGTGGTTCCAAGTAGAGAATTCTTCGCTTGCCTTGTTTCCCTCATCTGTGTCTTCAACTACAGTGGACATGGTTCATTGGTAGGGACAGGGCCCATCTTAATGCGTCTTCCTTCCCGGCCCATCATACGTTGGGATGAGAGTGGACTGTAAAGTGAAACAAAGGTGTTTTTCTCTTTGTACCAACACCATGAGTGCATGCAGAGGAAGTGGGGAGAGTTGAAGAGATTAAGATGCTAGAGAAACATGAGAGAATTCATGGAGCAAGGTGTGTAAGGAAGTGGAAGATGAAGAGTGAGACGGTGATGAGACACTGACCTGGGGAAGAGAGAGCAATGCCACTTCTATTAAGCCGAAGGAGAGGAGGAAAGATGGATATTGTGAGAGTGGAGGGGAGGCTCATACCAGACCACCTGGATCATCTCAGTCAAGAGGAGGCAGCAGAAGAATCTTGGGCAGGACAAATCGTGGCAGGGTGGAGTGAAAGGCTGAGGCAAGAGGAAGAGTTTAGAATAAATGGCCAACTTCGGGGGGGTCTGTGATCTCTTTACTGATACAATGGTCTCTTTTCCCAGAAAAAAGAGTTACAGACACGTAGAATTACGCATTTAGTTTTAGGGGTCTATGGACTCCAAGTTGGGAATTCCTGCTCTCAAGAATTAATACAATTGAATGAAAGTGTTTCTGCCAAGTAATCTGAAGTCAAGCAGCTTGACTTTTTAGCATTCCAAGTTTGTGTTTCTGTGACTTTCCTCAGCAACATTCAGAAGCCCGAGAGTAGCAGGCGTTCTGGTATCTGGAACTGAGGCCAAGGCTTCAGGGCAGGAGAGCGCGGGATGACGTCTGAGGGGGTGGTGGGGCTTAGAGAAAGGCAAAACCCAGGCCAGGGACAGGTGGCGGTGGAGGCTTATCCACGGCGGGGTGAGGAAGGTCCACTCCGTGTGCAGCCCGCAGGGGCGATTGTCTGTAGAGAACGTAAAAACGGTAAGAAAAACAAAAGTCAGTCTTCCATTTGCTATTAAGATGCACAAGCCATTGTAAACACCAGCAGCCATAAAATACTCCTCTCTGAAAAAGTCTTGGTCTAGCACCTAAGCAATTGCCTGAAACTGGGCAGACTTACAGCACTGAGAGGCGGAGAAAGAGATTAAGACTGAGGGAGTAGGGCAGGGCTTGCAATGGTGCCGGCCAGGAAGTGGCAGAGGGGGTGTGGGTGCCTGCCGTGGATGCTAGGGTACAAGACGACTCTATTACTGGGTGGCTGTAGGCAGCACCCAAGTCAGTGCTTTCGTTGTCTACAACCCAGACATTTCCTGGAATCCTAAATCCTTTCTTCACTTAGCAGACCTCACCTCTGCCCAAATCTGCAACTGCGTTGATCTCACACTGGCTTTTTCACCTCTCTGTTAGAGGTGGCATTTATTTCCTTACATGGTTTTTCCCCACTTGACTGTTCTCCTAGAGAGCAGCGATTGTGTCTTATTTCTGAGTCACCCGTTCAGACACGCCTGCAAACAGCCACTGAACCAGTGCACAAGTGTGTTTTGCTCTTCTTTATAGATTCCTCCAGTCTGAGATGACCGGACACCAATAAATACAGACTACGGCTGCTTTCCTTCTCCCAGGTAAATGAGACTTCATGAAGGGTTACTGTTGGGCCTTCATGCCATCCTGAAACCACCAGGATGTGGAACCAGATCACGGAGGCCCACCCCTTGTATCTGTAAGACCATCAAGACAGTATCTGTGGGCTCCTGCCACAAGGCCCCGAATGATGACAGCATTTTGCTTTCGGTGTGAGCAGTGCTCTACAGCCATGCATGGATGTCCCGCTGCTGTCCTGAAAGAATCCAGGTGCTTCTTGAAAGCTCTCTGCAACTTAGTAATTGGGAGTGATTATGCAACAGAGAAAACAGAGTCCCGTCACCCCCTCAGCCTTCCCTGGGAAATCACAGGAGGACTGATAGCTCTCTGTGAGGTGAACCATTTCTAGAATCCCCACCGTCTCGCCCCGTTCTTCCACCCACTTGGTTCCCCAAGATCCCCCCTGTGGGCTTCTGACCAGTTGCGAAACCACTGGCTAGTGAAGTAGATAAACCAGAACAGTTTGGTTTAACATTTAAGGGCAGAAAAAACTTGCTAGAGGAGAAATCAAAAGAGCAAAAGTATAAGGGCAGCCCTCCAACCAGTCAGAACACTTGGACCACAGCAAACACAGACACATGTCGACTCTGGAGCAGACATCTTCAGCGTAGCATCTGACCTGGGAGCACAACCACACGTCCTCATTCTTAAACAGCAGATCGACTACTGGAACCACACAGTCTCTGGGCAATGTGGAAATATGTCTAATATTTAGTCAGCATAACTCAGGGTGCCACAGTCTTCACAACTGTGTGAGCACTTGAGGATGCTCCATTTGACGATAGGTATTTGCTCTTAAGCATCTGGGGTTTGAGTATAGAATAGAGCTTCCCCCACCCACCTGCTAATTTTATAAAATGTGCATTCAAAAAAAAATCCTGTCTGTAAGAAGGAATGAAGCTACCCATTTAAATATAGCAGCTGCCTGTGCATCTACTGCACTCTTTATAGGAAACGCTTAAATAATTGAGATACCTAATTGGGTTAAAGAGATTCCCTAGCACATAGATGTTCTATAAATAAAAGAATGAGTAAATAATCGAGTAACCTTCCTTTTCATGTCCTTCCCTTAAAGAGAACGTTCTGTTCTGTTTGCACCAATAAGACCACTGTTAGAGGACTCCAGAGAGGTTTGATTTGAGGTGGGGCGGGGCTTTCCCAGGGAAGTCCCTTTTCATTTGTTTCAGGTGTACTGCCACCTTTTTCTTGGCTCTTTCACTAAAAGTGACTACTTTGTTGATCTTTGCTGTAGGTGGGTAGGCACCTGGGCTTTGCTTTTGCAACTCGAGTTAAAGAACTCAACAGGCTGACCTTGCCTTGCCGTCTAGAATCAGAAAGGTTTACGTAGCCCAGGGACTACTGAGAGGGAAGAGAAAGGGAGAGAGAAAAGCGCATATAAAGAAGTGGGCAAGAGAGCGGGACCCTGTCTCAAAAAAAAGAGGAAGTGGTAGGTGGTGTCTGAATTTCTGTGTGACCTGTTCTGTCAGGTGATTTTTGGTGGGGCGGGGACATGGAAAAAAAAGTTAAAATGTCCTTATAAAGACAAAATCTTTTTCTTTCCTGGCTGATGATTTCTCATTCTAGTCACTTCCTGCCTTGTGACCACACACCCGGGCTTGACAAAGCTGTTCTGCAGATCAGAAAGAAGGGGTTCCTGGTCAGACACCAGTACTACCAAGGGCAGCTTTTTTCCTACAAGGTAAGTTTTCTTCATGTGTTTTGCTGGGTTTAAGTGCTGGCGATGCCCAGCGGCACCGTTTCTGTGGATTGTGTGGGTTTTGCCTTCAGGGGACTAGAGATCTGAGCATGTCACCTGAGACCTCTGTGATTCCTGCCACGGCCTAACTGCCCAGGACACGTGCGGCCACCTTACATGGCCATCCAAGATGGAGCCCCTCAACTCTCGGGGCTTGGTTCTTCTCAACTTATCTGCAATTATTACCTCTACCCAAAATTAGGGTTTCTTTTTTCTTTTAAAACCAAACCACATTCCAGTGTATTTCTATTGCTCTATTTCAGGAAAGCTATTTACTGTGATTTTATCTTCTTTAAAATGTTTTCAGGAAAGTGCGTATTGATAATTTAGATTGTACTGCTTATTGGCCTAATGGGGGTAGTTTAATTTTAGTTCCTGTGGTTCTGTTTTTCTTTAAAAACGTCGTTACAGTACTTTAGTGGATATATTAGTATCTTGAGTCATATGTTACTGAATGTGATACTGGTTATTTGAGTGATTTTTGGTGCCAAGGGTTTTTAATGGGTGTGCTTTATAACCACACGGAATTAGAGAGAGGTTTTCTCTTTTCCATTTTTTCTCTAAAAATGAAAGCAATTTGTGTCATGTTTAATTGTACTGTTTTTGTAGAATTGTCTCAATTGTTTGTTATGCTTATGACCATACCAATGATACTCACTGAAATTCTGGGAGAAAGACTTTTATCTATAATAGAAATTTTTATGCAGTTTATATGAGATATGTATTCCAGAACTTTGCCCAAACATAGACTTTGAATCTTGTAGTATACACTTTTATTTAATTACCGCTATAATATCACACTAAGAACCATTAACGAATGATAACCGTGAATCAGGATATTTATCAAAACCTAACTTTTAATACAATATATTCATTTTAATATATTATATTAATTAGCAACTTGTTTTCTAAAATTACCCTATCAAGACAACTTTCAGAAACACTGTCAGTAAGCAAATTGTCTGCACACATCTTGATTTTGAATCAAGATTTACGTTTGTACATCCCTATGTTTGTGTATCTTTACGTTTGTCGTGAGTTTCTATTTGGTTTCTATTAAGTATAATTGTTTAAAGAATGTCTGTGTAGACAAATTTCAATCATTTACCTATAAATGTGAATTTCTGGAAGTTGCAAAATGTGACCACCAATATGACTTTGCACATCTCACCTGAGTAGTTTCAAACAAGCAAATGTGAAATTGAGAGAAGAGGGACTTGAACCCCAGAAAAAAACAGACTAAAAAAATACCGTGTCTTATTTTAAGTAAAACTATTAATGAGAATAAAATAAATTAGAATGTGAAGGAATGTCCATCTTTTTCTTATATTTAAGAAGAAACAAAAAGGACTACAAGAAACTTAATTCAAAATAAAAAGGTCCCCTGTTGAAAATTAAGTTTACGCTGCTAAAGCACCAACCCCATGTGTTACAAAGATATTCCTCTTCACTCTAGCTCACCCCCAGGAACATCAGGGGAAAACTCTTCTAGGTCTTGCTCTTTGAACAAGCATTGCTGTGGTGGGTTTGAGTTGTGCTTAGGAGGACATTTCCTTAGCAATCCCAGAGATGCTTTTCTTTGTAGCATTTAAATTTTGTCTCTTTTGTAAATGATGCCTTGAAACAAGGTAATTTGGGAAACAATTTCTGTGCTTTCACTTCATTTATAATCCTATCTCTGAACTCTTTGGGGGAAGGGAAGACCAACAAGTAAAGTCTCATTTGAATGTATCCATTTAACTTCAAGAGGACAAGAAAATTAATAATAGCGCTTAATAATTAGAAGCATGTAGTGTAAGCAGCTACTCTGTATAAATCACCTTGTTTAATCCTCTCAGCTACCTTTAGAGTTAAGGAATGGGTTAGACGGTTGAGGGAACTGGCCCTAGGTCCCTGGGCAGTTGGGGTGGGGGACAGTAGATGGTCAGAATTTCAGGCTCCTACTGCCTGTGTCTGTTACAGATCCTCCCTTCCAGGCTGGCATGCTTACCCCAGAGGTAGGTGATTACAGGCTTTTATTACGGAAGCTGGCTAAGGAGATCTTGGCACTCACAGTTTTAAGAGAGGAGAGAATGAAAGAGAGGGAGCAAGAGAAAGAGAGAAGAGAGAGAAGAAAACACTTTGTAATAAATTTACAAACATTTTTATTTTTATAAATAAGAGATATCATTGCAGGTTTATAGTAACGGGATGAAGAAATAGATTTAAAATTAATGCATAACTTTACTAAAGAATTGTTTGCCTTTGCAAACCTGCCTCAGCCCACTTCCCCAACCTTATTTCTTGTCACTTCCTTCTGTTCAGCCTCCCACTACCCCATCCCCTCTTCCGCCTCTGCTAACCCACATTTTAATGCGCTAGACCACAAGCCACCAGAAAGTTCCATTCTCTTTTCGCTCCAACTGCTTCTTTAATTGTGTTCTTCTTTCTTTTTAAAACTTCTGATCATTTCTCAAGGCTGACTTCAAAAAACGAACCCTTTTGGAGGCCTTCCCATCTTCTCCCTGCCAGCACTAAATGTGTCTTTGGCTTTGATCTCAGAGTCAGTATAGCATTAATCTTTTGTCTTATTCCAAGTCCTTATTTGCTGACAGACCTGAGCTCCTTTTCTGTCTTTGCTGGTACATAGTAGATGCTAACTGTATTGATTGAATGGAAAATTTCTCACAAGTTTCTTTTTTCAGCTTCTTACATATGATGAAAGACTTTGATTGTAGTTATTAACTTAATATTTACTGAGTTCCCATTTATTTCTGTGAATGAAGATGCAACAATAATATAATACTTTGCATTCTGCCATGCTTCAGCTTTGCCAAAGCCCTAGTCTCATTTTAGCTTCAGAGTATCATACAGACATTGACCTCAAGAAATTTTTTAAATTGTACAATTACTACTAAACAGAGAAAGTGAAAATCTCATTATTTCAGTATAAATACATTCGTTGGGCCAAAACTTAGTTACCCTTGCCAAAACTATATACCCAATAACGGGCCTCTTTAATGACAAAGAGTACAAGAACCGGTGTTAACTTTTACTTACTCACTTTGGATTATTGTCAGAAAATTCTCAAGTCCACTTCTCCTTGTTACCTAAAGAGTACAGGCCTTTCTATGCATAAATAAAATTTAGGTAAAATAAAATTAAGAAATCTGCTTATAAGATTATATTTATGAAGAGTCAAACATTTATAATGTAAGATTATAAAGGCTTGGATTTTATGACTAATAGCAAGTTTTATAGCAGAGGGACATTATTTCAGTTAATCTAATTTTCTTCCTAGAGTTTTTTTATCTGCTAGCTTCCCAGCTTACAGATAGCAAATCAAATGATACTATTTCATTTGCATATCGAACGCTGCAGAAATAAAAATGAGAATTAGAACCCATCAAAATATAAAACCAATCACTGTCTGCAGATTTGAAGAGTTTCAAGTGTTCCTATTTTGCCAGATGGAAATGCACTTCTTGCTGTGGCTCACGCCTGTAATCCCAGCACTTTGGGAGGCCAAGGCAGGCAGATCAAGAGGTCAGGAGATCGAGACCATCCTGGCTAACATGGTAAAACCCTGTCTCTACTAAAAATACAAAAAATTAGCCAGGTGTGGTGGAATGTGGCTGTAGTTCCAGCTACTCAGGAGGCTGAGGCAGGAAAATCACTTGAACCGGGGAGGCAGAGGTTGCAGTGAGCCAAGATGGCTCCACTGCACTGCAGCCTGTGAGAAAGAGTGAGACTCTGCCTCAAAAAAAAAAAAAAAAAAGTGTTGATGTTCCACAGTGCCTTCATTTTGAGGCTCCAGGAAGTCACCTCCTGATTAGATGCTGGTCTCCTCAGGCCACCTCCCTATTGCTGCTGTGGCCATGGTGCTCCCCAGATGCCATCTTCCTACTGCTCCCCTCAGTTTCCTTCTGATCCAACTTCCTGCCTTATACTATTGACTGTTCCTCTTGTTCTGGTTGGTCAGTTTCAATGCTTACATCAATCTGCCCAGAAATTGCATGACTGCTCCATCTTGTAAGGTATTGGTGGGGGGAGTGAGAGGAGTTTCAGTCGATCGTCCTAATAATAACAGCTAATACTTGCTTTGAATTGAGTGTTTTTCTACGTGCTTTAATCCTAGTAAAGCATTTAGTTGTCACACAGTTCTGTCAGGTAGCTTCTGGTGTCCTCCTCATGTCTGAAGGCAAGTTCATTCATTCATGTATTTTATTTAATTTTCTACAATTGGATCAATTTTTGTCCTAACTGTTGAATTTCAAGGCAACTTCCTGTAATAAACAGCAAATTATGGTGCTTATTTGTACCTAAGCCCTCAAGTTGAGTTCAAATAATCATAATCTCCCCCCATGCATCTATATGATAAATGCTTTTATTAAACAAACTGTTCTGTGTTATCATATCATCAGCATCCGTAGCAGCCCCTCTGTACACTTGACTGAGTAGCTGGTTGTTGCCAGTTACAGGCCTCTACATGGGTCATAGAACATGATCTCCACCCTCAAAACCTTTAAAAGGTTCTTAGTCTTTAGAGTTTAGAATAATTTTAGTCAAGTGGAATTCGCATTTTCTAGTCTGCTGTGACTGATAGTCATGAATAGATTAAACATTCTAGTATTTAAACCCAAACGCATATCTATGGTTGTATAGTAATGGCCAAATGAAAACTTGTTTTAAATGTTAGTGGAAGAAGAGAGGCAAAAGTGATCCACTTACTGAGTTTCAGTAAGATTTGCTCAATGTTAGCGCCATGGCTGTGTCAGCCCCACTTACAAGGAGCCTGTTTCTCAAAGATGGTCAGTTGTTCTTTCTGGCGGAAGGAAAGGATGTTAAATTGCGGAACTAGCAAAACCACAGTTCCGTGGTTGCAGCCTTGATTCTTGTTTCAGTGTCGGTTACATGGACAGAAGGAGGGGGTCTCCCTTCCTCTCTCTGTCTTTCTCTCTCTCACACACACAGACCACAGAAACACACCCATACACACTCTTTCTTAACTGGATAAGCTAAAGTGGAAAAGAGATTATGTTCTCCACAGCAGAAAAGCCAACACCAAATTCAGCAGGCAGGTTAATTCTGCGTGTGAATTGCAATCTCCCAGATAATTTGCTTTTCTTTTTCTGGTTGCACTTTCTAGAGGGAAGTGAATTAATGGAAAAATTACCTTGTATTTTGATTGCTGAGTTTGGTAGTGGTCACTAAAAGTTATCCAAGCTGTGTCTCCAAATGTTTGAAGTAAAGGGACACACAATAGTTATTGGTATAAAATTTGCATATTTTTCCTATTCCGCATTACTTAGGCAAAGTTTTAAATTAGAAATGCATCTTTATTAACCTCAGGTGCAACCTCTCTTTCCAAAAAACTTTTTATAATAATTCATGAGATTATAATAGATGTGTGTGCATCCAATGTAGCTTCTGGCCTGAAAATGTTTCTTTAATTTTTAAAAAATTTTAAATGGACATATAATTATATATATTTATAGAGTAACTAGTAATGTTTTCAATACATACAATGTCTAGTGATGAGATCAGGGTAATCAACATATCCATCATCTCAAACATTTTATATTTCTTATGCTGCAAACACAATATGTATTATATATATATAGATATATATAGATAGATAGATACATATAGTTAACTACAGTCATCCCATAGTGCTATAGAACATGAGCGCTTATTCCTACTGTCTAACTGTAATTTGTATCTAAACAAACCTCTCCTATCCTCCACCTTCTCCCCACCCTTCCCAGCCTCTAGCAATCTCAGGTGTAACTTTTGAAAAGTAGGCCCGTTGTGCCTCCTTGGCATCGTCGGCTCATAACAGCCTCAGCAGAAAGGCCAGCTGGAAGAAGGAGTGGAATATAAACCCCGTATGGAGGAAGCTAGGTCATAGGTGCACAGTGGGAGTAGGGAAGAAAGAGAAGAGTGTGCGTGCAGCTTTGCACTGTTGAGCGCCCTTTCCGCATCTTAAAAATGCAAACCAAACTCCCCCCACTGTTTCTAATGCTTTATAAACAGTTTCAAAGTTTCCCCTCTGGAAAGGTGGACTACGGTGAGCACCTGGGAGAACTTTCAGATTTTTTTCCTTCTCTTGTTGTCATTCATGTTGGGACTGTCCATCAAAATATCATGAATTCTGTTTCTTTTCTGTTCCCCCTGAAAATGATGGTTGTGATACTTTATCTATTTAGTGATGATCACACAGCTTTTCTCCTCACTCCATATCCACCCTTCTGTTCACTGGACTCAATTCTTCCTCCAGTATCATATCTCCAGTATTAGTTCTTTAAAGTTGAATGTCTGTAGCTCCCATGCACAAAAGAGGCAAATGTGGCCTAAAGAAAGGGGAGCAAAGACAGAGACAAATTTGATTTATATTCTGGCCTCTTAGTAAATGTGGAGCCTGGTCAAGCCTCTGGAGCCTCTGAAGTCCAATTTCCTCCTCTATAGAATCCGGCAGGTGCTATCCACCTGCTAGGTGTGATTCGGGTTATTTTCCCCTTCCATTTTCCCATGTTGTTGTCTGTATAGATATGGAGCATTACCTACTCCACCCAGCATCACCACTGACTCACTGAGCTCCAAATACTTACTAGGCATTATGCCAAGTGCTTGAAAGCTCATTGCCCTTTTATTTTCACAAATAGCTAGGTAAAGTTGTTATTAATTATATCTTTATTCCAGATGACCAAACTGAGGTTCAGGGAGGGTTGAGTGACTTGTCTGAGATCACAGAACCAGTAACTGGCAGACTCAAGATTCACACCTTGGCTCTCTCTCATTTTCTGTTGGCAGTTTCTTAAAGGTATGAACCACGTCTGTTTAAACTGTTTTGTATCTTCTAACATGTTCCACTAGTTGCTTCCTGATAATATGTCTAAATATATCTTTTTGTAATTTAGTGATTATTGAATGATTATTTGTAATTCCATGTTTTCTTTTTCTTTCTTTCCTTCTTTTTTTTTTTTTTTTGAGACGTAGCTTTCGCTATTGTTGCCCAGGCACAATCTCAGCTCACTGCAACCTCCACCTACCAGGTTCAAGTGATTCTCCTGCCTCAGCCTCCCGAGTAGCTGGGATTATAGGCACACGCCACCACACCCAGATCATTTTTTTGTATTTTTTAATAGAGACAGGGTTTCACCATGTTGGCCAGGCTGGTCTTGAACTTCTGAACTCAGGTGATCTGCCCACCTCGGCCTCCCAAAATACTGGGATTACAGGCATGAGGCACTGCACCCAGCCTGTAATTCCACATTTTCTATAAGGAAGAGATCCCAACTCTCCTTTTGTTAGTTCTGCTGGTACACCAAACATATTTGAGAAATAAATATAAATGCTTGAGGATTTTATGATGGAAAGTCTTTAAAATAACACCTATGAAGATATTAGATTAGGCTATTCAGCCACTTAAAATTTTGATAAAAGCAATGTTACACATATTCCATTGTACGTTGGTATTGGTAAATATTTACCAACTAAAGTGTAGCTTTCAAAAAAAGGAAGATAAAGATAGCCCATCAAATTAATACACATTTTCTGCCTCAATTTATCTGTAACTCCTCCTTTTGTTTTTTTTTTCTGCAAATGAGCTTGTCATTAGAGATTCTAAAATAATAGCTCCAAGGAGCCTATTGAGAATGAGGTCACATTATTAAAAATAAATAGAAGCTTCCATTATCATTGCTAGTAGACAAATGTTGGCTGCATATTGTCTCACTGTTTTCAGCTCAACCTACAAGGATAACAGAATCAGTTCTGAGCATTGGTGCATCCAACAGGGAAGGGATGCTGCCCAGTGACCCTCATCACAGATGCCCAGAGATCTCTTCTCCTTTCATGGCTCATGGTGTATGTGATTGGGTTTTTCTTAAGATTACTGTACATTTTTCCACTCTGGCCACACTTCCTCAACTGTTAGAAGGTACTTTCCACGGTCGGTCTCTCAGGCAAGGCAAAGCCCGGAGCCCCTTCTCCACTCAGCAGAGCCCGGAGCCCCTTCTCCACTCAGCAGAGCCCGCAGCCCCTTCTCCACTCAGCAGAGCCCGCAGCCCCTTCTCCACTCAGCAGAGCCCGCAGCCCCTTCTACACTCAGCAGAGCCCGCAGCCCCTTCTCCACTCAGCAGAGCCCGCAGCCCCTTCTCCACTCAGCAGAGCCCGCAGCCCCTTCTCCACTCAGCAGAGCCCACAGCCCCTTCTACACTCAGCAGAGCCCGCAGCCCCTTCTACACTCAGCAGAGGCCGCAGCCCCTTCTACACTCAGCATGAGCTAATACCAATGCTGTTGGCTTTGGGTTGGTATCATCTAGCAGGTCTGCAATAGCTGACTTCAAGGGCTGTGAGTGAGAAATGTGGTACCAAAGCCAAAATAAGCCAGACCAAGAACATGAAACCATAGAGCATGGATGTGAGATCTAGATTTACACCCACACAAAAACACATAATATACACACAACTAAGTGTTGCTTTTAAGTTGTGACTTCACAATATTTCCTACAATTTATAGTAGAAATTGGGGTTTATTCTCCAATAATTTTTCAAAAGTTCTAGTTCTTTCATATGTTCTTTTAACTTCCTCTTTTCCTTCCCTCTTCTTTCCTCCTTTCCTTCCTCCCTTCCTCTCTTCCTCCCTTCATTCACCAGGCACTGTTGTGTATATTTTAAACACTCTGTCTCACTTAATCCTAATGCTTCCCTATGAAATGAACACCGTGGTTGCATTATAAACACCCCTTTTTTACAGATGAAGAAACTGAGGCTCGGAAGATTTCAGTAACACATTCAAAGACACACAACAAAAAAATAGCTGAGTCAGAAAATTCAGCGCTTCACCATACACGTCACTCCCTAGTTGGTTCATTTTTAAAACAATACATACCGATCCTAATTTCATAAAGGGAGAGAGGAGCGTTCGCTTTTGGAATGCCCTTACGTGGGTGTATCCCTGTATCCTAGATCCACACATCTAGGAAGTAAAGCACTTTTCACAGACTGTGCATCTCAAGGGTTCTTAAATGTACAACTTTAGGTTTTTCAAATGCTAACTGGTTTGTGTTTTTCCCATGCATTAGCTAGACCAGACTAAGACTCCAGGGGTTCCACTTCTCTTTTCACACCAGTCACTGACTCACTTTGAGACTTTTGGGGGTGACTTCACCCTCCAGGGCCCCTATTTCCCCAATTCTACCGTGTTCAGTTCCCTCCTGTCTTTGTAGTATTTTCTAGATGGGAGACGGTGACTAAGGAGAAAGCTTTGTGCGCACAAACAAACCAAATGGTGTCTGGGCAGAATGACTCTGCTGTTTGCATTCACATTACCTGTGGTGAGTGGAGTGTGGCCTGTATCACTGACGTTTTGCCTCTGGAAACAAGAGCTAGTGAGGACGAGCACCACGGTGACACCACCTCCTCAACCTCTCATCCTGGAGGTCTCTCCTCCTGCACCCTTTAGCTACACCCAAGCTGCCACAGGTTCCTCTGTGTGCTTTTGCTTTGCACTTTGCAGAGCTATTTTCTCTGCCTGGAACTTTCTATGTTGTCTGTTTGGAAAACTCCTTCTGGTTCCCTGACACTTAGCTCAGTGGGCAACATCAGCTTCTCTGGAAAACCTTCTCATCCCTTCCCAGGCAGAGTTAAACACAGTTGTTCCATGGTATCCACAGGGCATCGGTTCCAGGACCCGCCTCGGCACTAAAATCCATACATTCTCAAGTCCCACAGTCAGCGCTGTGGCACCCGCATGTACCAAAAATTGGCCCTTGGTCTCCCTGGGTTTTGCATTCTGTGAATACTTGCATTTTCCATACACATTTGGTTGTAGATACTGAACCCGAGAGCAATGAGGGCTGACTCTATTGAAGAAAACTGCGTATAATTGGACCCACACCACTCAAACCTGTGTTGTTCAGGGGCACACTGCACTTCCTTCTCTGTGCTCCTGCAGCTCCATGCTAGGAATATCTTTAAAGTATTCATATTAGTGTCGCCTTGCATCTGCATGACTGTTTTCCTTTACTGGACCGTGTGCCCCTCAGGAGCAAGGACTCTCTGCTGTTTATCTTGGTGTCTGTAGCACCTGCGACAAGGTAAGTGCTTCATTAGATGCAAGTGGATGACTGAGCTGTGGAGGCCACTGGCAGAAAGGACCCCTTTCTCCACCAGTGGCGGGGGGGGGCACAGGCAGAAAAGATCAAGCCTGGTTTTATTCTTGCTCCTTAACACTTCCTTTAAAGACGCTGAGTAACTGAAGAGAAGACGCATTTAGAACTTCCCCAAAGAGCCGAGGAAGAGCCCCTAGTCCTAAGCAAAATCTTGCAGAAATATGTGTATCCCTAATTAACATGACGTCAGAGCTTTGACCTTTAGGGGTTTCTTTTTGAGTAACCCAAAGGATGGGGAAAACTCAAGGAGATACAGGAATCCAATAGCCAGAAATGATAGGAAAGGCAGGAGGCTCCCCCAGTTTATATCTGTGTGACCCTTGGCCGGTTATTTGAACCTCAGTTTCCTCATCGATGAAGTGGGAATCATAGTAATACCCTATAGGATTGTGTGAGAATTAAACGTGAATGCATACAAAACATTTAGCACCAAGTTAACCACTCAACGTTAACGGCCATTATCATTGACCAACTAGTCTTCTCATTTGTTCTTTAGCTATTTGCCTTTTCTCTGGCTCCAAATAGATAGACTTTCTATAGAAAGAACATGGACTAATACTCTCAGATGAATGAAGAAAAGACTGACCTTTAAGCAATCTCCTACTCCTCTGTTGAAATCTAGGTCAAATGTCACTTTCTCTAGCTCTCCAGGGGAGAGCTATATTTTCCCTCTTCCTGTGGATCTATAAAGTCCCCCTGTATTCTAGTGCCTGTGACTCTCTTCCCTACTCAGCAGGCCAGAGCCTGCTGCATGTTCTCAGCATCTCACACAGGACCTCGCACACAGTCGGTATTTCACAGATGTCTGTTGAAGGAAGAAATTTACAAATGTTTGAATTTTTTTAGTGGCACATTTAGAAGGATCAGACGATGAATTTCATAGTCCAGATAGTGATATGCAAATGACATGCAGGTAAATGGCACCTACTCCTAATTCTGTCCAGTGTGCTCCTTGGTCCAGCACACGTGTCCATCCCAGGTAGGTCAGCCCTTCCTTCAGTCTCTGCTCTGTCTCCACAGTTCCTTTCCCTCACACCTCAGCAGCCCTCAGCTTAGAGGCAGGCCCTACAGAGTTGGATAGAGACCCACTGCCAAGCAGGGTTATCACAACGGTGCCGAGAAGCCGGCCTCAGGATCTGCGATTTCAGACAGGAAGGATTTTCGGCTGGCAAGGTAGGGCTAGGGAGCATGCGCAGGTGCCGCTTCACAGGCTACCCCGGGACCCCAGATTAACTCACCGAAGTTGTCTTTCCAGCAGAGTGGTTTCATGTGGACTTGAATCATGTATCAGCCTTGTTTTACGTGTTTGTACCTTTCAGTGCATGGGATTTTCTAAGTATATACACAAGAATATTGTTGTTAAACTCCTCAAAGAAGGTGACAGAGACTTTCCAAGTCCTGTATGCCATCAGTTTATGGATTGGTTTCTTCATGTATACAGCTCATTTACTGAGGACCTCACATGTGCGAGGCACTAAGCAGCGCAGTGAGCTCCTCATCTGCTGGGAGAGATGAATGGAAACAGGGACCACACCACAGCGGTGTGGAGCAAAGCTCAGAGGAGCAAAGGCTCGCTGCCTCTCCCCAGCCTCCAGGAGAACAGGATGCCTGAAACCACCATGACTGTTGAGATCAGTCTGAGGGT